GCTCGATTAATTAGGGTGATAACAGGACTCCGTTTGTGAGCAATAGGGTAGTTGCTCTTGTAACGAAGGGCAACATCAGCATAGGTCTTGTTGCGTTTAACCGATGTTTGAAACGTTCCGTCAGTATTGCGCTGTACGAGGACTTCAAGAAAGAGGAATTTACCGTTAATTTCTTATTCGAGCGTAAAGATGATTCCAGGCATCGTTGAATTGATAATGTTGTGTAGTGTTTCCAGTTAGTCCTTTTTAACAATGACAAACGTGTCATTGACATAGCATACCCACAACTTGGGATTGACAAGTGGTAGGGCCGTAGTTTCTAATTTTTGCATCGTTATTTTGGCCAAGAAGCCTGGAATGACTGACCCCATCGGTGCTCCTTTTAGCAGTTTATAGTATTGTTGAGCGAACGAGAAATTAGTTTCCAAACATAGATCTAAGAGTTCAAGCAGGGCAGATACAGGTAAGTCCATTTCGTGGGAATTAAGTAATTCTTCTGTGTATTGCCTTGAAAAATCTAATGGTATCGAAGTGAAGAGAGAGACAAGATCAAATGGTACCGTTATTACGTCTGCTGTTACTTCAAGACCTTGTAATGTGTTCAGAAACTCAATGGAATTGTCGATTTATGTTTCAAAATCTTTTGTCAATGGGTGAAGCTTTCGAAATAGCCACTTTGAGATTTTATTATTCGGTGCGCCGATTAATGATACTATCGGTCTTATTGGTAGGTCGGGCTTGTGCATTTGAGGCAGTCCGTAGATTTTAGCTATGTTTATTTTAGGGTCATGAGACGGAGAAAGCAGACCCCACAAGCTAAATAATCTCACCATAAGATATATATTCTTCACAACGCATTCAAGCTTACACACAGAGACAGTTTTCTCGTAAATAAAAACTCTATAGTCAAGATTGCAGACCAAAGACTGACTGTCGTCTATCGGAACCCTCGTAGACTTTCGTAACACCTAAATGTATAAGATATTTTCCCTTAAAATTTAGTCTTTTCTACAGTGTAATCACTTCGTTAAATGCTTATTACTGCACATATAGATTTATTTCCATAATGCGATTAGCTTGATTTATTTTATTTCTTCTGTTGGCCCTGGCACGTCATTCTGCAAAGTTCAAATGTTGCCAACAGTTAGTTGCTGCGCGCAAAGGAATGGCTGCTGGTGTGTGAACACGCAAACGCGAATTCGCAGTGATGTCTCGGAACATAGGGGCAGGGTATCGTAATGCGAAGCGTGGCCTTGGCACATGGCGCTCAGTGCCAAGGCAACCATCGGAGCAGCAAAGGGTGTGTGCGTGCGTGCTGGTTCATGATGTACTCAGACCATTTGTTCCGTCATCAGCCTGTGCA